CACTGGACAGCTGTGAGTGGTCAAATCGTAGGTATGTGGCCAAGTTTTATGAAAAATTAGTACAATAACGTCGCAGATTATCCGTTTCAAAGCTGGAGTCATTGTTGCCAACTGCATCCTGTTTACTTCCGAGCTGTTTCCAGAATAAGAGCGGTCAATCCAGCATGGGCGAGTGGTCAGACTTCCTGCGAGCGGAAATTTACGCCCGGGGAGACGCGGCACTTCTTGCAACTTTACTGGTTGAAACTTCTGTCAATCAACACCAAATTCGACACAGGCCTTCCTGAGACTCTGACATGTCGAAGGAGGGCTTATTGACTGAAATCGACCGATGATAGGCTGAGATACAGCCCCATACACACACATGAACTGAGAAAATCCTATAGATGACAGCCAGAAACAGGCTCTGATGATGTTAGGAATCTCAAAATGATTCCTAACATCTGTATTTGGATGTATTGAATAATATGAGTGATAAAAAAAAAAGTGAAATATATAGTATATAAAAGTACAATGTAAGAGCTGCAACAGCTGGTTCGAAAATGATGACCTCGCTTGACCACTCTCTACTAAAGCCTCTTATTCTTCACTTTATCCCACTTTAACCTTTATTCAGCAACTACTGATCGGTTGTGCTATGATTTGGGAGAGTTTTTAGGGAGATATCTGCATTATTTCAACAACCTTATATCAATAAAAGTGCTTTTTTTTCAGGCGAACCTGATTATTTTCAATTTAAGCTGTGGCAGAGGCCTACAAATAGGGCCCGAGCTAAAGAGGTTGTTAAGGCAAGAAGGTTCATTTAATGTCACAGCACCTTTCAAACTGCAATTCAAGGTTTTATGGCAAGGAAATGCATTAGAAAGGTTAATATATCCAGCATCCAGCAGCAGAAGTGAGCAGAGGGCTGTAAAGACCCGCTGACGACATCAACTGTCTAAAGAGACCTGAAGCCCCGCCCACGCTGTTGCACAGAGCGCCAACGCTTGTATAGTATTAATTATCGTTAACATAATTTATTTATTCAGATGCATCGATACCGAAACATATTTCTCATATCAGTCCAAAACTGACTCAAATAGCTGAATCAGCTATCGGTGACGACATGCAGATCCGGTATTAGATACCAATATTTAAATTAAAGCTGCGAGCAGCATTGATCGGGCCCTCGCAACTTCACGCACGTCGAGGGTACTGGCATCTCTCTGGTTGACGCGGCCATGCATTTCTGCGACCATCATACACTGCGTGCACGAGTTGGATGATATTTCCTGCGTCGACCAGCAGCGTAGCAAGATCATGTTGCTAGGTCTTCATTCTTAAGTGTGTGTGTGTGTGTGTGTGTGTGTTTTTCCACACTGAACTTGGCCCCCGAAATCACCTGTTGTTACCTCGACTTAGCTCGGGCCCAGTTATGGCATGTATTAATGATGTTTAAATGATCTTTAGAACAAGGCTGAACCGTTTTAGTGAGCTCATGGGTATGGAATCCGTCCTTTTTTAAATTAATTTATTATCCACTTCTGAAGATCATGACACAGTCATGGTGTTGCCCGCCGGAGGCTATGTGAGCAGAAACACAGAACATGTTTGAAAATGTGAGGCTCATTGAAGAGTGACGTTACATCATGTCTCAAAGAAACTTTCTGAACTCTCTACTCATGTACTTTTAATACACAACTGACTTTTACTGTGCTTCATAGACCCCAAGGCCATGGACATCTGTCAGCACATGACAGCGATTGGAAAATGTTGAAAAATGCAAACATTAGGCTTTTATTTTTAGTGGTACAGTGGCTGTTGGAGAGAATCACTCTGAGGTTGTTCTGAAGTCTACAAAGGAGGAAATAGAACTTTGTTATATTCCTAAAGAATGTAATGCTATCAAACTCCTTTTTTGATACTATTTATTGTTAGCATGTTTTCAGCAATAGCTATTCATTGTATTTATTAATCACCTCTCAAGTTTTTCATTCCTGCACTGGAGTTAAATGGCCCTCATACGAAGCGATGCATCTATGTAATGTAATTATATTTCATTGACATTAGCCTCACTATTAATATATTTGATTGTGCATTTTAGTAAGATGCCTCCATTGTTTTCTGTGAAATAGTTAAAAGTACGAGTATTAGATTATACAATGGAGAAACTCGAAAACAGCAGAGTGGTGATACGGCACGGCTACGCTGTGTGTTAAAGCCAGTATTCAAATGATAGCCAGCACGAACGAATAAAAGCTGGTCACTAATGAAGACAAGTGGGGAAAAAATGGGATGGAATAACTTGTCGACTTTCTCAGGATCCGCCTCTAAGACCACTGCAAGTATAGGTCATTCGAGTCATTAAGGCCGGTAAGGGAAGCCCACGCAAAAGATAAACTTAAAGGTAGGAGTTTTATTTAAGTTTTGAGTTTTATATAAGGTTGAACTACTTTAACTAAAAGACAAACAACACAACTCACGCAAGCCCTGTTGGAGGCCCTGGGATCATCACAACTACGATAGCAGTTCACAATTTAGTATAAATTATAGAGCTTTAGAAGAATGTAGAATCAAAGCGAGTCTCGGCTTGGATCTCAGTTGAAATCAGGCTGGTTTGGATGCCTGGCATTGACTTTTTTTAGCTGATACAGCAAGTGATATTTGCACTTTCTCACCCATCTGACTGCAACCCCAAATCTGTGGGTGTTTCTGACAAACTCAAGATTTTTGCGTGACAAGAGACACAATATTGCCACAGCAAGTCCCCGCTGCAAAGTATTTTAAACGAGCGTTTTGGCACTGCCAGGTTGACATATATCTTTATTCTGACATTTAAGTATATTACATATAATGATGCACTTCCCAAAACATAAACACCGATTTGAATGAAATCTGAGTTGTGTGGCCGTTCTCTGTCCAGCTGTGGTGGCAGGCAGTCGGACTCCTGTACTTTTCTCCCACTTCCAGTGAATGTATTTAGAGGAGATTACAGATGTGATCCAGACAAAAGAGCAAACTCCCTGGTACTGTCTGACTTGTTGTCTGTAGACAGACAATATATATTTGAAGTTGTAATCTCAGTGGACAAGGATCATCTTATTGTCACTTTCATCAATAAACGTGGCACAAGGATTGACACAAGGTCAATCCTTGTCCACTTCATAATGCCAGTTCATGAAGCGTTTTGATGTCGGATACATTGGGTATTTTACTGCATTTCATGTTACCAATGGCACAGTGCTTGTTGTCAGTTACTGTTGCAGAGAATCGGTCTCAGGTTGTTCTGAAGTCTACGAGGAATGAGGAAACCGTTGTTGAACTAGTTGTCTCCATTCAGTGTGCGTTCATTAAAGCTAATTATAGTTAAATAGCAGACCCAGCAAGTCCAAGGCTGCGAGAGTCCAGCTGCCAGGCAGACAGCAGTACAAGCAGCAGGTCAGGTGGAGATCCCCCTGTCTGTGGAGTTTCATTCTTACTGGCACCTAAAGAGACGCACCTGATGACTACTGGGATGGCCTCTGTTCACAAGCTTTTTGTGTGTCAAATAATCTATTTGAAGACATTACTGATGTATTTTTCAATTCCCTGACTTTCCAGCAGAAGGCCAAATTCTTAATCTCAACATGTATTAAATGCATTGTCACAAAATTTGTTACAGACATTCATGGTTCTCAGATGATGAATCCTATATACCTTGGTGATCCCCAAGTCCCTTTACAGTTTTGAGTGATTTGTATCAACAATTATTGGATGGAATGTGAATTTGGTACTCGCATTCACGTTCCCTTCAGGAGGATTTTGGTGATCCCTTAACTTTTCACCATCAGGTCAACATTTTGATTTTGTCCAATCATTTTTGTGTCTGGAAGATGTGAAAGATTGCAGGAAGATTCAGGTCATTTTATCTGAATGTTATACTTGGAAGTCAAACTTTTGTTTTGCTTTGTGCGCCACTGAGCAACTTTCATCGGAAAGAAAAGGGCCCCGCCTGTGTTCAATTGTCTTTATGCATCCATGCTTACTACAGCCTCATAGAACAGCTGGCATGGCTCTAGACTCTTGATCATCCTGGATTTTCCATTCTTGATCATTCTGGATTTTGTCACTGTACCATGTCAACTCTGCAGGCGCACAGAGCTGCAGTCTCTGTCTCTTGATGTGTTTTGATTTTTACGCACTTTAAAAGTAGCAAAGCACAAGAAGCTCCTCATCAAATTTGACACTCCCCTGGATTCTGCCAGGTGTTGTATAAGACATGAAAAACATAGTGTGAAACATGCATGTCCTGCGCTGCCAAATGCCAACGGCAGATTTCTGGTGGGTTTGTAATGTGTTATTATATGGGTGGCTGAGTGTGTGTGATGCTGTCAGTGTCGCAAGACACGGGTCAAAATCCGTTCAGTGTCTGTCAGAGACGGGCTGACAAAGAGGGTGCTGTGTAACTTCCTCGGAGTCGCCTCGTATGCTTTTGTTTTGATCGCTTGAGTTGTTTGCAGGTCACTTTCCTCTGGAAGAGGGTACTTCAGGTCTGTTGCTGCAAATCTGTGCTTGCGTCCAAGTGTGCTCATTTAACTCATTAGGGGGTTTGTCCCAGTTGGAGTGTTTTGGCCAACTTCTTTCTGCTTTGTCTCCATGGGGAGAGGTCAAAAGCCAATATAAAGACACGAGTCATGGCTTGTTTTGCACTCTGGCCAAGAGCACTGGCCTGCTCTGAGGAGTCTGAATGAACCATTTTCACTTGAAGCATATAAGTCAGATATGGCAATCCAGAATATGTGGTCAAGTTGATTGATCTATTGATAGTGTTGGATATGCCCAAGCATGGAAAAGCATAAACCAAACCAAGCAGACTTGTGACATGCAGCTGCTTATACGAAGCCTCTTCCAAGCATCAAGCACCAGAGCTGTTGTAGTCTGAACATGTTTAGCTGCCTAAATGAATTATGTTTGAGCAATGCAAGCATTCAACAAAATAATGAGAGCGTTTGTCCTCATCTGTGTTTTCTTTTTCCTTGCAGGAGCAGTGCTTCCTGAACCTGGAGGCTCCCATCAGTAGGGTCTGCGGTTACGACACCCCCTTCCCTCACATCTTTGAACCCTTCTACATCCCAGACAAGTGGAAGTGCTTTGACGCAATTAAGAAGATGATCAACTACTGAACCCCCCCTGTCAGGTAGGAAAGATCTGACGGCCTCCTTTTGAAGGAAGGAATTATGTAATTTTCCAACACTTAATGTATATTACGGCCTGTCAACCATAACCCTATAATCTGCATTATATATTCCAGTAATGTAGTTATGAAGATATGGAAACGAATAATGACCTGCCATCAGTAACAACCATCATTGCAGAGAAAATTTAATTGCACTTCATATCTTTTCCTGCACACTCTTTTACTTAGCTGTCTAATGTAATCCTCTGCTAGACATACTGTATATAGTTCATTCATATCCAGACATCAAACGTTTCCAGGGCCCTGTTCATTGTGTCTTTTACATCTGAAATGCAGCTCTCGTAACCAAGTGGGATTTTATTTTATTTCCCAGCTCACATTAAATCTGATCAGATGGCTTAATCGTACAGTCCCTGACAAAAGTCTTGTCGCTTGGGTACAAGTTGACCTTAAGTGCCCCTCAAATATATTTGTAATCAATTTTTTTTTACAAGAAATGGCTAATTTCAATCCCAACAGCTTTTGAAATAATGTTTTGGTGCCAAATGAAACTGCTGAAAAGCATTCTAACGTTCACAGCTTGGTAAAGCCCACTGAGTCAGTTTTTGCAAAGACAAAAGTCTTGTCGCCTTGTCATATGATGCACCCAATCCTAGATTACAGCCTCACCTGTGATCAATAATTGATCAATCAATTAGTGGGTGTGTATAAAAAGAACCCCAGCACACCAGACCTTCACATCAACTGCAACTTGACCTCTGACAACATGCCTAAGATTCACCCTGAGACCAAAGCGTTGATTATCAAGAGGCTGAAGACCAGATCCACTGCTGAGGTGGCTGACACCTTCAATGTGTCTCAGCGTCAAGTACAAAGAATAAGAAAAAGATTTGAAGAGACTGGAGATGTTTTTGACAAGCCCAGGTCCGGCAGACCCCGCAAGACAACTGCTCGGGAGGACCGTTTGTTGGCTCGAAAATCCAAGGCCAGCCCCTTTTCCACTGCAGCAGAGCTCCACCAGGCCTGGTCACCTCACGTCCCAGTGTCAACCAGGACAGTTTGTAGAATTCTGTCTCAAAATGGCCTCCATGGTCGAATCAGTGCCCAGAAACTAGCACTAAACAAAAGGCAATTAAAAAAACGTGTGGCATTTGCCAAGGCCCACGGCCTGCTAAAAGGATGGACGCTGGAAAAGTGGCAGAAGGTGGATTTCTCAGATGAATCTTCGGTTGAATTACATCACAGCCGCCGCAAATATTGCAGGAGACCTACTGGAGCCCGCATGGATCCAAGATTAACCCAGAAAACAGTTAAGTTTGGTGGCGGAAAAATCATGGTCTGGAGTTACATCCAGTATGGGGGTGTGCGAGAGATTTGCAGGGTGGAAGGCAATATCAATAGCCTAAAATATCAAGAAGTATTAGCTACCTCTTACATTCCCAACCATAAAAGGGGTCAAATTTTGCAGCAGGATGGTGCTCCATCGCATACTTCCATCTCTACATCAAAGTTCCTCAAGGCGAAGAAGGTCAAGGTGCTCCAGGACTGGCCAGCCCAGTCACCAGACATGAACTTCATTGAGCATGTCTGGGGTAGAATGAAAGAGGAAGCATGGAAGACGAAACCAAAGAATCTCGATGAACTCTGGGAGGCATGGACTGCTTTCTTTGCTATTCCTGATGACTTCATCAATAAATTGTATGAATCATTGTCGAACCGCATGGATGCAGTCCTTCAAGCTCATGGAAGTCATACAAGATATTAAATATGGATCTCACAGCACCACTACTTAATTCACTGATGTTATGCAACATATTTTTGTATTTGAAGTAAATTATTTGTTCAATTTTCAAATTACTCTCTGTAGGCGACAAAACTTTTGTCTTGCCAAAATCTGACCTTTCTGTGTTCATTAAATGATCAGTCTTTCTTCAGTGAAGCAAATTTATTTTAGTATATTAAACATAATTTGGGAGGGTTTTAGCTTTCATATGAGCCATTTCTAAAACCAATGGATTAATTAAAAGTCAGGTTATAAGCTGTTGTTTCTACAAAATGGATAAGTGACAAGACTTTTGTCAGGGACTGTATACCTAAAAAAAGATTACAGCAGCAATTGGCGTTCAGGCTACAACAACGATGTTTGGTGTTTCAAAATGTATGTTGTTCTACGAATATGAGTCATGGTGCTTATGGGGCGACTTTGTTTATCCACCAGCAGTGAATAATATTTTTTAAAAAATGATTGAAGTTTCTGGGAGTCATGCAACATGTTGTCCAGAATCCAGCATAATGGACTTAAGCACACCATTAAAGGATTTCTGCAAGATGGAGAAATCAAATACAATTATAGGATAAAGGAAAGAAAATAAGTAGGGCAGCACAAAACAAAAGGATCAACATTGTTTCTGCACTCAAGAGTACATGTTTGAACTACCATTAATGTAAAAAAAAAAAAAAGTTTAAATATATCAACCTGGTGCGCGAGAAAACTAAAATGTCCATTTTCACAATTGTTGACTCTATAAGTGATGAATTGATAAAGAAAAGAATCGGCAGATGAATCGATGAAAATTGTTGGTTGTAACCCTAAAACATTCAAAAGCACATCAATCATTGTGACCGTTTATCAGAAACAGACCCGGTCTGACTCTTCCAGTGACTGAGAACAATCCTTGAAGCGCCAATAAAGCTCACCAATGTAAGTCCAAGTTTTTGTTCGGATACCTAGTGGCACAGCAGCACAGACCTGGCTGTCTCTAATAAGCACAACTGGCAGCTTAAGGATACTGAAGCAGTTGTTTAGGCTGTATTTAGACCTGTATTTAGACCTATATTTAGACCTATATTTAGAGCTGCTGACCTGTAATCAGACCACCCAAGACTTAATGTGGTGCAAAGAGTTTACTTTACTTGCGTAGCCACATGGTGCTCTCTAGCACCGTAGATGTGTTACAGCCTTTCATTGGTTACAGAAGTGTTGAATAATTCTTTGATAGGACAGTCTCTTTCGTAATCCCTTAATAATTGTCCAGTCATCTTGAGTTCTAGCCACTTAAATGTTGCCGTTGATTAATAAGGGGGAAGGAGCCGTTAATCAAATATTTAATTGAATCCAACACGTCACCTCTCATCCTCGCTGCTCACCATCTCCATCCAGTTCTGCTGTTCCTGACACTGTGGACCGCCAAGTTATTCCCTTCAACTTATTGAACCTCTCTCCTCTTGCAGAGCCAACTTCTGGTAGCCCTGAACTCCACGCTCTCTCCTTTTTCCTCTTCATTTATCAAATCAGTGGAGCGCATCCAGGAAAGGACACTTTGTTGACCGTCCAATCAGGAAGCAGTATCCAGATGGGCTCCATGTCCCTCATTGTCTTCCAGCTAAAAGACTGTTACAGCACCTCTGCATTTGGGAACTTCATTGTTTTGCAAGGGGGGAAAAAATGATATATATGGTGAAACACTGCTTTGGTATCATATGCACATAATTTGACTTCCTCTTAGATAAGTGTGGGATACTTCGGGGAGAACTGTCAGCGTATTTGATTGAATTTATTGTGTTTGACTGCCTCTCTGTGCCGTTACCTTTGCTCTAATCTTTATTTAGTTTGACCTTAACTGAACCGCGTTGTATTAATGTAGTTTATCTGTGGTTTTTATGGAAAATAAAGTAATGAGATTTGGTGAAAACATTTGGTGTGTTGATTTGCATTGCGTTAGATTTGTTGGGATTTGAAAGTGTCATTTTGTCGGTTACTTCAGGGTTGCCACTGGTCATTGTGGCTGAGGGAAATCTATCACACAATTGTAAAGTCTACAAATTTGATAAATCATCTGATGAAGTTTGGCAATTTTTATATAACGCCCACATATATTTTACAACATTTATATTTATATTTTTAGGCAAAACAGAAACAATTTTTTTTCAGTTATAGTAGCACTTTGATTTAAAATTGTGTAACTACCGAAAAGGCACAGGATGTTACATCATGGCCACTGTGCGAACTTTTGTTCTGCTGCAAAGTTTGAAGACTTTTCCATTATATCAGTGCTTCCATGAGAAAATTGTCTTTCCTTGTTAAACGTCTCGTTCCGTCTCTTACCATCTGAAAGTTTGATATGGAATCAATCTGGACCGTTGTTGGAACTCTGTGTCCTTCTAATGTACGTTTGAGAAACCGTGAGTCATTGCTCAACTATTACCTTAACAACGATGAGAACATCAAAAGCTGGAATTCTGCCTCCATTTGGAGACGGCGAGAAATGATTGTGTCCTCAACCGTGCTGCCATTCTGACAGCTTGTGTGTGCAACGGAAACGCAAGTGTGTCACGAGTGAGATCGCGTGTAAAACATGCCGACCTCGGGAGGCTACAGAGTTTACCTCATGGTGACAGAATTAGATGGAGTCACTACATTCTGACAAGAGTTCTGGTATTCTTAGAAATTTAAAGTTTGACCCTCGGGGCGGATTTCGAGAGCAGGTCACAGAATCCTAAAGGACTCTGACTACTTGGCGATCCTGTAAGATTTGACAATGACTTGTGTACAAAGTGTAAGTTCTGGTCTAAGGGTGGTCCGAAATGCCAAAACTCAGTAGGGTTCATCCTTTTTGGATCATGATTATTTAAAGCGAAATTGAAGCATCAACAGCCATTATAATCAACCATTCATTAGTAACCTGCCTGGTATAGAAGGTCAGAGTTCTTCTGGGGAGCATGAGAAGTGTTCAGTAAAACTCATTTGTAATCTGCTAAATACGTTTTCAGGCATGTTAAGAATGCCCACTACAAAGTTAAACCAAACTATTATTTTGTGTACAAAATGAACATCATCACCTGAAGGTGTTGCTAAAGAGAGGCTCAAAACAATGAGCTGAAAGAGCCCAAAAAGGTTGCATAGAGCAGTATCCGCTTTGGGGTTAGCAAAACAAGCTGTAAACACAACATTGTTGTACAGTATTATCACTTTATAAGGTTGTCATGACTGAAATTAGCAAACTGGTGCGTTATCACACATCTGGCAGAGACAAAGCAAAGTTTGTGTCCAATATTCGCCCCTCCGTCACTCTTTTTCAGTCTCTACCAGTGCCTGAGAGAACTGTCGGGCTCTTCAGCTTGTGAATGCTCCACCAGCTTCGCTAGCTAGTCGTTTACGTGCCTGCCTGCCACGCTGGGTAGAGAACACTCATTGAAGACAGCCGCCTGCTACTGCTGGAGATGGTGTCGATGCAAGTGAACTACATCAGCTGAAAAACGTCAAAACACTACGTAAATGTGAGAGAAGAATGCGATGCTGAAGGCAGTGCATGGTAACAATTCAATTCAATCGGCAGACTTAACCAAAACACCATAAGACCTTTTTGTTTTTTATAACTACTGTATATAATGACATTTCCCACCTAGTTGAGACGCAGCACCTCAACCTACACAGTAATGCAGCTATGTCATATTTCTGGGTTCTCCTGCACTTTTTAACCACATACTGACGGCATACAACAAAATGCAAACGTTCTGTGAAATGTAAACCTTAAATGACTTATTTATTCCTTATTGTGGTATTGCCCAATTCATTTATTTGTTTTTGCCCAAGCCATGTTAGTTGTCGTATATACAGTATTGCTGCCTTTTGGTCATTTATTCCTCAAGCAGTTGTAAGCCTGTGGGGATGGAATAACCAGCCTGCTAATGAAACGTTTACAGCGGAGCCACGAGACGGACTAGAGCAGATGGCCTCGTGCCTCAAGGCCTTTGCTTTTAATTTGCGTCTCAAGCGCTGAACTCGACCCATCAGTTGAGTTTAGGAGAAAGGTGAGAATGACTTCAAAGTGTGACTAATGATTTAACGGGGCTTTTGAAGAGCAGTGGAGTACAGTACAGACGTCCTGCCAGGACAATCCGGACACCAGAGAGAGTGCCGTGGTTTGATCCCATCCCATGTTACATAACCATCAGGAACATCTTCTGATCAAATCACAAACATTACAACGTTTGTACTTTTGGCTATTTCTTGTGTGTTATTTGGAAATATTTTACAGTGTAGAGATCAAGAAGTGTGCTGCAGTGCGCTTGACTTGCTCTGCTTTCAATATGTCACACTGGTAAACAATTTGTGAATGTGATGGGAAGGGCTTTGAGTGCAGAAGAAGAAAACTGCATCACTCATGTTTTGTTGGGTATCCAAACCAAATAAAACCAGTTGGCAGCAAGAATGTTGATTTGTGGCTCGTAAAGAATAAATACATCTGGAATGGTTGTGATAGAACTGAGCTGTTGAATTTCATGCTAACAATGACCAGACCTTTTTTTGCTGGCCTGTCACAATCTGATCTTTCAAAGGGAGACATTTGTAAATGGCTCAAAGCTGGAATGTGCCTCGGTGCCAAATGCTCTCCCTGTTGCTCGTAATCTCTTTTACGTTGGACTCCCTCCTCCCTCTCACCTTTGCCAGTGTGACACCTATCATAACTTTTGGGCAGTTCGGAGCAACTGGAATCAGCAGTCACAGACGGAAGAGAGCAAAGATGAGATGGTTAACCCAATGTAACAAAAACAAATATGTAAACAATACCACTAATCAACGCGTATCTGCTAAATCCTTGTAACGTTTCAGATCGGATTCTCAGCACTCTCTTCCACAAACCCTGGTCAAAAAGCAAAGATAAAACCGTGTCTGTCATTTTGGTCTGGGTGAAAGCAGTGCCTTAAAACCACGGTGGTGAGGCGGCCCCTCTTTTGGGCGGGGTGGCAAAGATGACCTTTGCTTGGTAGGATGGCCATAATAGCATCTGTGTTCTGACAGTGTGTCATTACACACTATATTTACATGAAACGCAAGAAACAGGGGTGGTAGGTCACGGCGCGAAGCAACATGGGGATGAAGATGCTCTGGTGCATGTCGAACCGTACAACCAGAGATTATAGAACCGCTTAGCCTGTAATGTGGCCTGTTGTGCATTTTAATGGTTGTCGGGGCACGTCTTACAGCATCATTACACAGATTGTATTTATTCAACATCCATCCGATGTTTTATTTTGATAGTTGATTATAATAGGTACAGCCTGGGATAGTTTGTCCTGTGGTCAAAGTGGAAAATGATGATGATGGTAAAACAAATGACGTGTGGTGGACAGTAAAAAGAAGGCTCGTTCATTTTAGTTCAGCATCACTGAGGCTTGTTTGCCTTTTTCTTACATTGTGCTGTCTAAATCTAATCTCAGGCGCTGTCTGTGTCCGTCATTTACAAATCAAAAGCCTTGCAGAGATATACTTTCTCCCTTAGTAGCCAGCTGCACAAGCTCTTCATGAGTTCAACTGTGTCCTCGTGTTTTATTAGTAGATGTATGCGCCGCTAAATTAACACAGGGTGTGCCACACAAACTAGTTTAACTGAGAGGTGTAACTGTTGCACAGATCACGATTGTTCTGTGGTTTCATATCTTTTAAGTTGTCAGCTACTGGCTTGCTAGTTGATTCTCACAGCAGTGACGAGCTCGGAGCACACAGAAGACCCGAGGCAGAGTCCAGTTTAATGAAACACACGAGTATATATGGTGAGGTACGTACAACGTACATCCTACAGCGGTTGAGTTTAATGCATCGTTTTCACCCATAAATTGTCATTTTTGGCAGTCATGCTAAAGTTTGTGATGCCAGTGTCATCCTGTTTGCAAAGTTGGTTGCTTTTGATTGGACAGCCCCAATATACACTTCCTAGCAACTCATTTACACATTAAGTCAAGTTTTTAAATTAACTCCATTTAGTAAATCGCTAATTTGAAACCAGTTGGTAAAGCTAGTTTAGTAAAAACGTAGTAATGGCTTTAGGAATTGCTGGTGCAGCCTTACAATGACTACAACTTATCCTTCTTGTCACCCTAAATATGCCATTTCTCTGCTTCTCAAACTAAAACCCTCCCACAGAGTCTTGTGGCCAGTGGCCACCCTGTCTCAGTCCTCACAATCCGGTTCCGATCTGCAGGTTTGTGGACCTTAAAGTTAGGACACACTAACGCGAAACAGAATGCATGCTTTAATACTTCCTTGTGATGGGTAGATATGATGCTCAGTCTTTGTTGGACTTTTTGTTCAGTTCTGTACTGTGGTCTATTCTTCACATTGTGTTTTGTAGAAAAGAAAATGATGTGTTAGCAATCTTGAACCCGACGCGCCAGATGTTTGTTTTACACAGAACCATCTGAGAAGCCATCATTGGAAACTGTTTGGAAAAGGGCAGGCACTTTCAAAAAGAATATCTGGCAGGGGATTGGATGAACCATTTGTCAATCAAAACTCTTCCCAAGCAAGTTGGGAGAAAAGCAAAAACAACTTTTAGATCGAGAAAAGCCTTCATTGCTGTTCTTTGCTCTTCTTTCAATGAAGTTCTGAAGAATCCAGTTCTGACATAACTGATGCTAATGCAGCATCTACGCTTACCAGAGAAGCAGCCATTGTTGTTTTTAAACAAACAGGCGTCTCTCCATGTTGCATCACACACACCTAAACTGTCTGTAGCTCTTTACAGGATGCTGATTGGACACAAACGCACCGCTTAAAGCTTGACCAGATGGATTTTCGTGTCCTCTTTTAATATCGAGAGAATCCAGCTGCTTTGCAAGGTTAACCTTCAGGGCAAAACTTAAAATCTCTCAGAAACACCAAAGATGATATCATATTGAATGTACATGTCTT